AAAAAAACACAAACATTTATTTTTCAATTCTCGTTGCGTTGTAATGAAATATGATATTCGTTATGTAATGAAGAATATTTTTTCATTTAGTCAAAAAATTACCAGCCTAAATAAAATATTGAATTTTTGCAGACAATGCTTTGATAGGAAATTTGATACATTTACCTAATACATATTTATTTCTCCTTTCGCTTCACTTCTTGGACTTCTTGGACGAAGCCGTTATTGCAGTCGTCGCTTGAGTTTTGTTAGCTCCCGGCTTAATAGCTTGAATTGACTAAATGTGTTACGAAACTTTTTTGAGCCTCATTTTGCAATAACTAGATGTCCATTTAGGAAAGGCAAAAGCTTCGTACTTTATCATCATCCTTCGCTTCTGTCTGCGGTACGTCGAGGACTAATCCTGTGTATTTTTCCATCCAACTGACAATCTAAAGTTCACAACTAGGAGTCTGTCAATCTTGTACGACATATGAATTCAGCTCCCATGTGGCATACCTTGCGAAAATGAAAGCTGTGCCATTCCGTTGTCTACCGATCCACCTGCTCTACCCCTCCAACATCACCTTTAATCCCTTGCTTTTGCGCTAATTGGTCAGAAATGGCGTGACACAATTTCAACACAATTTATATATTACAGCAAGGCGAGTATGATAAGACCGCAACCCAATGGGATTGGAGGAACAATAAATCCAATGGGAGGAACAATAATGTTGCTATTACCAGTCTCTCTAGGATGGCTTCTCAAATCAAGGTTTGAGAAGATAAATTGAACGAACGGATGCAAGACGAACGAATGCAATGGATTACTACTATTCAGTAGTGGTTATTTTCGGAAACAGCATGCCCCTTATTTTCTGTACAATCAGCCCTTTAGCTAAAAGATTACGGATGTATCAAATTGATTTCGATCGCTGCGAAAATCTATCATACGACCCTCTCCGAAGTGCGTCTGTGTACAAGAAGTGGAATTTTTGCTTGGCACACCCATGCAGACATAGACAGCCAAGACGGACTTACGCTAGTTTTATATGTAAGATCTAGATTGATTTAGATCAATGTCGAAGTATCTTTATCAGGTATGGATTGAACTTATCTCGCACGGATGAAGCTGTGCATACCTGCCCCATGTCATGTCTTTCATCTGGATTACGGTGCCACATCTTGGTCTTGACATACTCGACTAATTTCGCAGGAGCGCCTTCAGGAAAATCGTTGAGTTTTCCCTCCAGTATCTGGATAAGCATATGAGTAGAGCTATTGCAGAAACACGGCTTACCATCTTTTTTGTGACAGAGTTTGAGATACCTTCGTATGGTTCAAGCCCAGCAAATATCTCGTAGACTAAGATCTTAATCGCGATTTTTGTTTTAGGATGCATGCTTTACTTCAAATTACTATAACTAACTCCGTAGCTGTATACATCACTTTTTTGCGAAAACATAAAAGTGGTAATGCTCTCTGGTGCCATCCACTTTATTGGCATTTTCTTCGCTGTCTGCATCTTGTAAACGGAACCTCTTCGTGACAAACCAAAGTCGCTTATTTTTACCTGTGTGATATAGAGTGTCCCAACAGAACCGCTCCTATAATTTCAGATTATCGCCGGGAGCAGGCGGTCCGCAAACTCGCGGTTTTTGCAAGCGATCAGCAGAATTTTGGGCGCGCCAAACCTTTAGCGAGCTGTACTTCCGTGTTTTGCCAGCGGGCAGCAATACAGAATTT